GCGTGCTTTCTTATGTTGGGGTAGGTCTCATTTGGGAGGGCAGCATAGTACTTGATCAGACTGTTGGGGCTGAATACGTCTTTCAGCACATCACAGGTCTGCAACTCAGCCAGCTCAAATTGAAGAGAAGGCAGGGTGTCGTTAATGTCGGCAGCAAAAGGGTTCTGGAATGTGCGGATTTCTTTAACGTGGACATGAAGCTCACGGAACCGCACACCGAACTCCGCCCTCAGTGTTTCCAGTGCGTCCTTGCACTTCTCGGTTGGGAACGGGACCGCCGGTTTCTCAGCTGAGAGGCTTCGAGTAGCAGGGAGATGGGTGAAGTCTTGTTTTTGCACCTGTCCAATAAGCAGCGCTAGTTTAAGCTCAAATACTTTGATGTGGGAATACATGTCAGATTAGTTTTCCCTTGCCTTGGAGCTGCAAGTTGAGGCCGTTTAAAATTTCTGACACATCTGTTAATAAAGGCGAGGTCCCATTTCCATTCTGTGTCGATCAGCTCTGGGACAGTTTTTCCCTTTGTCAGGAGAAAGGCATTGATTTCGAGTAGCAGGTCGTAAAAACGCTTCAAAACTCTGCCCCGGCTTAACCAGCGGACTTCAGTGTGGTAAAGCACGTCTCCGTGGGCTGATTCTAGCTCAGAGAGAAAGGCCTGGAACTGCCTGTGTTTAAGTCCGTTTGCTCTGATGAAGTTTATGCAGGACACAACCACCTTCATGACAGATTCCCACCTCAGAACTTTGCAGCTTGACGCTGGCTCGGTCACGATCAAAGTCACGTCAGAATATACCATTGTGTGAGGAGGTGAAGATGAGCCACTATTAACTATAAATAGCTCATAACTATGGTCAATTTTAATTAGAATGCTAACCTTTAAGTACGGATATGTTATGATGTTATGATAGGAAAATGCAATTTAATAAAAATTGGTTGATGTTTAGAGGGATTGTCTGGGATCGTTAAGTGGGCCACTCCAATTGCTTTGGCGGGCCGGATGTGGCCCGCGGGCCGTAGTTTGGGGACCCCTGATGTAGAGCTTGCCATTTATGTCCTAGACAGCCCAAAGCAGCTTGTTTAGTGAGTAACACTCAATTGTACCTCATAAACTGTCTAGGTGGACCAGTCTGTACACGTAGGAGTGCAGTGAATGGTTCTCCATAGCGGGGATGGCAGACAGCATCATCAGTAAAGTCACAGGCCGTCCACATGTGGCCAGCCTTTGCCAAACACTGCACCTTTAAACCTTTATGCCTCAGTATAAAGAAGGACTGAGGGAAACATAAACTTGTGTTTATGTGACTCTCTCTTAGCAAACAGTGATTTTGTGAAACCAGGGACTAGATGTAGCAAATTCTAAAAGCAGAATCTAGTTTTATTTGACCTTCTGGAATGTCTCTTATAAATCACTATAAAGCAGATTTATTTTTTTGAAAGTGGTGTTTTATTTGAATTCCTCTCTGTTTTAAAAGTGAAATGCTCACACACAGAGAGGAACTGACAGAGGTTTTATACGTTTTCAGTGAAACTTTAAAATCAGTCTTTTTTGAAAGATTCTTTCTTTTACAATTGAAAAGTTAAATTCAGACACAATAAAACACACCCTCTCTGCAGGACACTTGGTAGATTTGCAGCTAAAGCCGTACTTGGTCTGGTATGACATTGGCTTGTGGTGGATAATCTTAGCTAACCTTAGGTAAACATTGCTGTATAAGGGACTGAGACAGTTTACTGATTTTATGACTGTTTTCCACTTCTGCGACTTTTGCTGTAATAGTATTAGCATCATATTATAATTTGCATTTTGGGCTGCTGTTCAGCAAAAGTTTCATTTTCTTGCTTTAAAGATGTTGTTTAAAGATAATGTGCCCCCATTTATGTCTGACCTCCATTTTTAGTTAAACCCAAACTTGGTGGGCTTCATGTAGAGGTTTATCAAACCGTAAATCCTTTAAGCCTCAAGGTTTACTGGCCCCAAACCTGTTTCTTGTCAAATTCCCATCTGTGAGAAGAATTTACGAGCATTAGCCAAAATTACCTCTTGTCATTTAATTGGCTTTTTGACTTGATTGAAATGAATTGGTTCCAGTTCAGCTTAACTAGAAATGGTTAAGTTACAAAATATTCTGGAGAGAATCATTTGCTGGCATAAGAACCTCACATCGTCCTTTGCATTCTCATTATGCACTCATATTTATTTCACCATCCCAATCCCACTCCCACACGACACAAATTTGCATTTCAGTTCTGGCAATGGAAGCAAATATTTGCTTTCAGCGCTGATAATAGTTTCTATTGGTAGTCACTGACTGGAAAAGCAAAGCATTTAACTGGAGTCGAGGTTAGAAACCATCAAAATAACCCGACACCCACATAGACCTATTTTATGACTTCCCAAGTAGTGATTTTAAATGATTGGGCGTGTTTGTGTAATCTTGTTTCTCCTTGGTACTTTCCATTTATGACCCCCACTAGATCCAGCCATGAGTCAGCCACATTCCATAAGAGACAAAAGAAATGAGGGGATCACTGCGCTTAAGTTTCCTTCGGACATCTGTCCCTTCAGTGACTTTTCTCCCAAGGTGACTTCCACTGTGCAAAGCCTATCGATGTCCTCAAACAGTGGACACAATAATCTCAGCAGATGAGCAAACAGCAGTGCAAAGCCGCTGGTATAAGCAGTGAGGTTTACATTGAGGTTTTGAGCTTAGGCCTAAAAGGGTGTAAAAACAACAAACGCAATCCACAGATTTCAGAGATTTTACATTTCTGGATGGACTGAAAACCATTTCCAAACACAGTCATATTCTATGGTTCATTATCAGGCAGAGTAATCCATCATTACTTGAGTTTTGTGGATTCCAGACTCCTTGTTTTCTTTCCAATTCCTGGGGCCAGACCATTGGAGGTTATGTGGAAAGTGACACTTATATCAGCCTTATGTAGTTCACATTTAGGGGAAGCTGTATTATGTCTGAAATCCAGCCTGAAAAAATGTTACATTTTACTTTAGTACTCTTGCCAAGAAAGGATATTACATTGAAAAGTTAATTCCACTTGGCAGACCTGTGCAAATGGCTGAGAAGAGAAAAGCGGAGAGATCCATCTCTGTTCTGTTTTATTCTCTATCAGTCTTTGATTGATTGATTGACTCGATTTAATTAATCTATTATTCATAAAAGCAGAAAAAAGGTTCTTCTTTTTCTGCAAATGAATGAATCCTACAAATATCTAAATTTGAAAATTGTCAAGATTTTATCCCACGTACAGATAGGAATGTTTTTCTGTTAGAAAATATGGCTTCAAAATCAATATTTATATTTACTATATACACTGTAGCTTTTAAATTGTTCGTGTATGTGCTGTGGCATTTTGTCACTGATGTAATCATTAGATCAAACGTGAACTGAAAGCACTCCGGCATACATCTGTTCAGATTGGGAAATAGTGGAAAGCCCTGAGAAACTGAAGATCTTACCAACACTTTGCTGACTTCAGCACAAAGTATGGCAAGCATAAAAGACTGTCTGTGGTTTTGATTATTTTGTGTGATGTTTGTCCATTTTTCTCAATGCATATTCGTCCTTTCCACATGGAGGCCGAATAACACTTCAAACATATGTCATAATGTCCCTTTGACTGGCCTGTGGAGAAGTGCATATCACCAGACATCAGGACTAACTTGATAATAGTTACAATTTGTACCTTCAGAGAGATGGAAAAGATGAATAGAGACTTGTGCTGTCACCAGCTGCTTTCTGGTGAAGTGTTGCTCTGGCCTGCAACAGCCTCCAATTTACAGTGTAATTTTTGTACAGTCTGCCAGTACAGTAGGGACAGATGCATAGATGTAGGTGCAAGAGAATTTAGGGAATAAGAGAGTAACAATCTGCAAATTTAATTATACTGTAAATGTTTTTAACTAGCAGGTATCTTCACTAAAGAGAGGGAACTTCACATCTTGTCCCCTTGAACGTATGTTACTTATACACTGTACAAAAAGTTACAATGTAAATTGGGAATCTGAAGCATTTCTGTAGTGTCTTCTCACTAAAACAGAAGGTGCGGTGTAGCTCAGTTTCTCAGTGTGTGTAGCCCACAGCTGCAGAAACTGAACCGTTGCTAAGGACACCAACACATGATGTTCTGTTTGACACAGATTTGTCTTGGCTGATACGTTCTCTAGAAATGGCTGTTACAGCCCACTGATGGGCCAAAGCAAAAACTCCAAAAACATCTTTTATAGATCAAGTGTTCGAGAATCTCCCCACTGGCAGATTATTGAATCGTCTCAGTTTGTGTTCAGACTGCGAGCCACCAGATGGACAAGTGGACACTTAAAATCAAATCAAGTTATGTTTACTGTATTTTCAAAACAACTATGCACAGAAAAGCCTTCCTGTATTTATTACAGTAATCACGCGAGGCAACAATATGATGTAAGACACAAGGAAACAAAGTACAAGAAAATAAATAGGATTTAGTTAGTTTACTTAAACCTACCAACCCGAGCCTGAGTAAAAGAAAGAAATTAACATTTCAGTGAGAGGACAATGAAATAATCCAAACACACTGCACAGATGGTCCATATACTGTAGTTAATCTATATGAAGAATCTTATCCAACCTCAACCTCTATCTCCATCTTGTCATTTGTTTGCGTTTGGAGATAAGGATGAAAGAGCTCTTTCCAGATGAGCTTCAGTGAATATCTGTTCATCTCTGCCTCTTCCATCCCGAGCTAACCACCGACATCTGGCTGGGCCTGTATTGACCAAACCCATGCTTCAATATCAAGTGATGGAAAACTTTTGTTTTGTTTGTTCTTTCTTTTTCTGATGTACATAAGACACTTTTTCCAGTGAGTGACCTTAGGAATGCTGACTTTTGATGAATCATGATTAAGGTGCATAACAAGGTGTCCTTTAAACCTGCTGGATTGGACTCTCAACATGAATCTTAACCATTTTGTGCAATCTTTTTTTTTTTTTTTTTTTGGTGCAGATTGAAAACTACATTAAAGAGAGCATGAAGGCAGAGATGGCTCAACTGCAGCAGAGTGCTGTCCACAACCACACGGCGGCCATGTTGGAAATGGGCACCAATCTCCTCTCTCAGACAGCTGAACAGACACGCAAGCTAACTGACGTCGAGACGCAGGTAACAACTCAACAAACGCACTCATGATAATGCTCCTGAACACACTTGTCCCACTCGATTTTCTCTTGACTTTCTTTTTCTCACAGACTAACAGTGAGAGAGGATCCATCCTCTGCTCCATTAACCGAGCCATTCCACACTCAACTGCCCCAGAAAGATTACAGAGAACTGGCCACAGTCAATAGTGATGCCATATAAATGCAAATCCCTTCTTTGAGTTATTCGACTCAGTTTCCTTTTAGTGTTTATGTGGAGGAGTGTGAGGAGGAGGAGGTGATGGAAAGTTGTAAAGTTAGTGGTCAGTAAATTTAGATAACTGTTTGCTATGTTAAAAAAAAAGATAATCATAACAGAGATGAATATCCCCTAAGTATTACCATGTGTTGGATGAACACTTGACAAAATGAAAACAAAGTTGATGGTTTATATGCACCTTGAATGTGCCGTGTGTTTTTTCCTCCTGTGTCTAGAAAACCTTAAATACAGCCCTGTGTGTTTAGTTTTTCCTCTTTTCCTCAGTGTTTTTGTTGCAGATGTGCATGGTATTAGCTGCAGCTTACATAGTATGTATAAAGGCATAATATCGTCTTTCATTATTTTTGTATTCTTTACGTCTGTGTATTTCCTGTCATGGTAGGTCCTGAATCAGACGTCGAGGCTCGAGATCCAGCTGCTGGAAAATTCTCTCTCCACGAACAAGCTGGAGAAAGAGTTAATGGTCCAGACCAATGAGATCAGCAAACTGCATGACAAGAACAGGTAAACGGACAACACTTCAAGCAAACGAAACACGCACATGCTGGCTACCATCCATACTGCAGCACATTGGACAAAGATATTATAGAGAAAATAAAGATGGTGACGATGATGCATCATCTTTATTTCTGTGCAAAAACTACTGCTGCTCTCTGCGGGGTTGCGTAAATGAAATCAAAAGCTTGCTACCAGCTCTCATTGACTACCGCATAGTTTGTCCATTTTCCAAAACAATTTTCAGTTGTATAAACAACTGCATGATAGAAACTTGTATTCTCTATGATGCTCAGTAAATCACTCTCAAATCCATGAGGCTATGCTTTCCATGTTGGACCGCTGAGCAGCTGTTGCAAAATCAAGGAGTTAAAATGTGGCTTTTGGATACATTTTCATGTCTCCAAAGCTTGTTCTTTACAGTGATTGGTCCTGTGGGATTGTTGTAGATGATCTAGTGTTTAAAAGGGTTTGGTCCGCATTTCTCGTTGCAGTATCCATAGAGACTCCTTGCAATCACTTTGACAAAAAAAAGAACACCATTTGAAAGCAGAGTCTCTAGTGATTCTGACTTTTTAGTTTTTCTTTTCGGTTGATGGAGATAGATTTTTGAGAGCAATTTCCCTAAGCTTCAGCAATTATGACATTATTCCATCTTGTGCGTGTCGTCTTTTCTTTTTCCTTTACCAAATCTATAATCGAGGGAAAGGTATAATTAGTTAATGAATTTGATGTCAGCTCATATCATCTTTCAGGCATTAGATTGTATAATGGTAGAGCTCAGATGCTGTAAGGGCTTATTCATTTACCCCAGATGAGTCTGTTAAGTGCATGATGAAGGGTATGTTTATACTGTGTGGGGAACACATAGCAACCGAACCTACAGCCAGAAGTATTTGTCCTTCTATCTTGTGGAAAGTTCCTGAATTTTGACTGTCATTACTCACAGTGTCAATCAGAAAGAAGCAGCAGGAGCAGATGCAGATGCATGTTACATAATTGGAAAATGATTTATCATCACAAAAATTGCAAAACAATATTCAAATTATTTAAATCCTGTGAAAACATATCTTATACCGGTGGATTTGGATGCCCTGAAGGATCATGATAATTACCACTTCTCCATGTCTTCCGTGACAAACTTTTCTTGACCTTTTTTTCGTTTCACCCCCCAGCCTCCTGGAGCAGAAGATGTTAGAGATGGAGATGCGACACCATGAAGAGCTGGAGACGCTGAAGCAGGAGAAGGGAAGCCTCCAGACCCTGGTAGGGAGGCAGAGCGGGGTCATCAGGGAGCTGGAAGCCCAGCTGAGCCGAGCCACAGGAAACAGCACAGCCCTGCAGAGACAGCAGCAGGAGATGATGGACACCGTCCACAACCTGCTCAACCTCTGCTCCAAAGATGGAGGTAAGCTAACTGGAATCCAAGTCTTATATGTTGAGAGGTTTGGAACTTTTTCAGCAGTCCAGAGTGCAACCACTGTCTTATTCAAGAGCAATTTTGGCAGTTGCATGGCGAAAAAGGATGGAGATGAAGAAAGTCATAACATATTAGAAATGTAAGTATATGTTTAACCCAGTGGAGAAGTCTGATAGCCTTGCTAAGCCACTGAGAATGGATCCAGCAGCTCAAAGCTGGACCAATCAGTGAAATACCAAGAGCGGTTTAGATGATGACAACAACAAGAAAAGCTGTGTTTTGAAGTTTTTCAAGAGCCAAGAAATCATGGCCGACAATGTGCATGATTCACCTTCTGGAAGGTCAACTTCTCACCTAAAAGTTATGTGTGTTTTATTACAGTGGGTAGTTTAGGTGTAATTTGACATTGGCAAAATAGCAGCAATGTTTTTAGCCAAGCTAGCAGCATTGCTCTAGGGATGTTCTGTCGCTCTCTCTGTCTGTCTGTCTGTCTGTCTGTCTGTCTGTCTGTCTGTCTGTCTGTCTGTCTGTCTGTCAGTCAAAAACTATTGGATGGACCACCATTCTTTTTTTTCTTTTTTTTTAAAGACATTCATGATACTCAGAGGATGAACCATCCTGCCTTGGTTTCTTGCCCACAATGAGGTTGAAATTTTTGTTTTGTTTTGTTCATGTATCAACAATTACTGATATAGCTCCCCAGAGGATGCATCATAATAAGTTTGATTTAAAAATAATAAAAACTATTTTAATTGTTCCAATACTTAATGACCAACTATTCACTGTTGTGCTAATTACCTAACATTAGCATGCTAACACACTAAACAAACATGGTGAACTTGATAAACATTATACCTACTAAACAGCAGCAGTTTCGCTAAGTGCATTCCACTTCCTAAACACAGCCTCGGAGAGCTGCTAGTGTGGCTGTCATTCTTGTGATTTTCATCCAACATGCACTGGCTCGTCCCATCCAGGAGAAGGAAGGTTTATGTTTATGTTTCAGTGGAGGAGAGCACTTGTCAGTCATCTGTCGGTTGCTTATAAACTGATCCCAATTTTGTTCAACCCCACTAGCGATAACTCCAATCCAAGAAAAATGCCTTGAAGACCCTTGCCAGACCATAATGTGCAAAGGAAAGTTTGTGGATTGGCTGTGCAAGGCTTGAATCATGAGGCAGCACTCAACTTGTTTTGGATTACTTACTTCCTCTGGTCAGATGTTACAGCTACAACATCTTTGATTTTACAATCGTCATGAAATTATGATGACACCAGTTCTATAAACCTTACCCCATGCTGAGAAAGGCAGGGATGCACTGGCTATTAAATTCTGCATCACCGAGAGCAGCATGAAGAAAGAAACAGTTCTTATCTTAACATGGCGTGCCCCTGTTAAAGAGGTTTGGTGCCTCTCATAAACCAGCGTGGTGCTCTTTTCTTGCAGCGATTGCTTTTCACGCTTTAATTTTATAACATCTGTGCACACAGCTTCACTAAAACGTCAAGCAGGGTTCTGGTTATGAAGTAATAGGCTTATTTTTATTCCTCTGAGTCTCTCCCTTCTGTTAAGAGACCATGGGTTTCCCTTTTGGCTCAACATTTAACCCGGCAGCAATGCAACCTTTCTTGTTCGGTCAAATGCATTGAACTCATTTACCCCTATCTCAGGCATTTAAACACGAAACCCACTTGATCCTTCAATCCCAGTGGTCACAGGAGATTTGACATGAATGTCTGTGTTTGGGGTAGGGGGGGGATTGGTTCCAGTCTCATTTCCATTTGTGGATTTTGTGCAGAGACGCCTCGAGACCCCACAGTGCTTCTTGAGGTTTCCCATCAGACAGAAAACAACAAGGCCATGAAGGGATGTAGGAGTCATGCACATGATTAACACATACTTTGCATTTGTCATTCTACTGCCTTTTTGTAATTTTAATGTTCCATGCAATAATGTCACGGGTGGCCTTTAGTCGCACTCTATCTGTTTAGTCTGGAGTTGTGTTAATTACCAGACATCTTTTGAGACATCTTGGCCTGACTGCTCTTAATGCATCATCTCAACAGTCATCATGTTGAGATTCAAATTATGTCCTGGTTCAACATGTTTGGGTCTCTCTTTTGCTGCCGTTGTTAATGTGTCAAGTTTGATTTAATTCACTGTAAATTAGCCTTTAATTTGGCACCATGTCTGCCAGTTTAAGTGTCAGAAAGTTCAGTAGAGCAGCCCATACCCCTTTTGGTAATTGGTGGCTGCCTTAACGAGAAGCGATAGAAATGGAACGTGACCGCTGCTGCTCTGTGGTTGGTCCTTTCCTCTTCCATAGTTGTGTTGAAGGTTGAGGCGGGTGTGCAGGTCAGAGGGCTCGCCTTTCTTCACCCCAGTGCGAATAAGTCAAACTCTAATAGCTCCTGGGGGAAGCCTTGTCCAAAGGAAGTGAAGGAGTAGGTAGATCTTACTGATCATCCGAAGCGCTGCCCTTGTTTTTTGACAGCATTTAACACACATAAGCAGAAAAGCTCTCCTTTTTTTCTGTGTTCAGGGGGGTGGCTGTTGTTTGTTTGAGAAACGGATCAGTGTTTTCATTTGAGGAAAGGGTTAGCGTTTCATGCCATGGAGTGGCGTCTGCATGCGTCAGGCTTTGTTTTGAAAGCTGATCCTGGGCATTTCCTTTTTAAAGCATGGACTCAAATCATCTTTGACTTTGCTTTGGGGAAGATGACAGATACTTAGAAAAGGGAGTTATAACACTAAATCTCTTAAAACTTTCTTCTTATTTTCCGTGTCTCCATGTATGGCTTTTCCTACAATTAAGGTCTCCAGTGTGTTTTCAACCACTGCAGTGTAAACCAAGGGTTGGGAAGATGTTTTTGATGTGGCCAGATGCAGCAGTGGAGCTCTTGTTTAGGTTGTAATCATTACCTAAACCTCATTAGGGTGCAATGAGCCACGTACTGTTATTAACAGTAATTGACCTCAGCTTTAGAACATCATGTAAAAATTTCTGGCTGCTAAATATGATTTTTGTTTTACAGTGTTCTATTATCCCACTAAATGAACAACATTCATCATTTTTACAGCTGCTCACTCAGACTCGAAGAGAGTGGGATTATTTTAAGGTTCCATGCAAAGCTTTACAAAAAAAACCAAGGCATTTGCAGTGTGTAGCCGCCCAATGACAGTATGGCAAACCACTTCATTAAACATAAATTTACAGTCCAGATTAAGTTTTTAAGTGCTTCACATGATTATTTTCATGCATCACTGACATGGAGAACGAACTGACACCTATTGTTGCAAAATGTGTGCAATTATTTGCTAGTCACCTCCTAAAAGTGTGGGTACTTCTCACCTTTATTCTCGCAGAGGGACCCAGACTATCCAATTATACGTAGCGTTTGCACACATGTTCTGTTGAAACTGTTAAATGGAGCAGCCTTTTAATAAGGCAGTAGATACCAATTATAGTCATCAGGGTTGGTAAGTTATTTCACCTGGCAGTTTAAGTCTAAATCAATCCACGAACACTACAGGGCTGCAGTATGTAAACTGTATGCAGTAGAACAGCTAGAATGAAAATCTCCCACAAGAGGTTCTTTTACGTCTTCAGAGGAGATTGGAGGCTACTGTCAGTCGCTATCAGAAAGTGGCGCAGCAGGCTGGGGCTAGCTGTTTAATATGCCAACTTCAGTTGAAGAAAAGATGTGAGAGAGACGAGAGTTAAGGCTGGCGTTGCTTTCCACTGCTGGAGACAGCTCTTGGTGAGTAAAGGGAATGAAGTTTGATGTTGAACTTGCAACATTTCTTCTAGACTGGTAGGTAACCAGCTGTTAATGGTAACGTTAGCTATGGAGCCATAGCAAAACGTACAAATAGCTCCTTTAAGAGAAACATATTTGCTCCAATTCAGGAAGTCTAATGACCTTTTACTGCACAGAGGTCATAGGAGGGAGGTTAGGATGTATGGTTGGGTGAACAAAGCACAGGACTATGACCCCAAAGTCCAGGCTTGACCAGGTTTAGGCTACCAAAACACTTTAAGTATAGGGAAAGATTGTGGTCAATGCATGTTGACTTATTCAATGTTTATCCAAGATCTAATCCCTAACTGTAATGAAGTGCACTGAGTAATAACCATAAAGACATCAATCACACAGAAGTTACAAGGAGCAGTTACTGTAGGGACACAACTAAAATACATTAACAGGTTTTACAGACACAGGTAACATTTGTATTTCCTTGTTATCTTGACGAAAATTTTTGCTGATGCAATCAGTGTCTGTTTTCTACAAAGCAGTATATGAAAAAAGTAGGATATACAATATTGAACAAATATAACTTCAACTAACTCATGAATCTTACCCAGAAATTTTCACACAACCATAATCCTCCTCACATGTTCAGCAAGGGCTACACATCATTGTTGTAATGTGAAATATACTGTGGGAATGAGCTGGTATTATTTTATAGTACTTTGCATCCTTCATATAAGAATACACCAGAGAAATTAATTGGTTCTTGTATGAATCACTTCAACTCTCAGCAGTATTTAAAGACTGAATATAGTCACATGGGAGCTGTGATGTCCATGGCAGTCCATTTAGCTCCATTATTCACTCTCCTTAGCTCCAGTATTTTGGCTCATTTGGCAAGGGTACTGATTTATGCAAACACCCAAGCCCTGCTGGTCTTTTCACATGAACCCCCTACTGAATACAAGTCCCCAGTGAACCACAAAATATTTTTCTGTAAATAAATATTGGGACATAAATAATATTTGTAGAGCTGGGCAGCAAGCTGTTCAAGGGAGCCGCTCCTACACTGGAGGAGCATCTAGTCCCTCGGAAGACGGTCTTCTTCCACCAGTCTCCAAGGCTATTGTGAAATAATTATACACGCTGTTACAGATTGAATTCCAGAAACCTCCCCTCTGGCAGTGATCTCTCTGGCCTCTAAAACATCCCCCTGCTGTATGCCGGCTTGGGGTAAATTACCACCTGACAGGGCCACCCTTTGTAGCATCAGAGTCTGGTGCGCGAGAGCCCACTCTGTCAACCTGTCACAGTAGGAGATTCTTGTCACTGACACTCAATACTTTGTCAAAACGCTCACATAGTACACACCCAAATAAGCGCCCTGCTTCCACGGGGAAGTTCTCCGCTTAGAAGGAGGGATCCGAGCAAAGGCTAAGGATTGCTGAAACATTTCACTCTCCACTGACATCTTCTTTGACTTAACAACTCCAACAATACAAACAATGGTGTGAAAACTGAGATGAACCCCTTACATGACGGGAGAAAGGGAGGAAGAACAAGGAGAGAGAGAGAAAAAAGGGAAAATCGGAAGGAATTTCCATCAATACAACAAGGGCTTGGAAGGTAAATATAAACCACTTGTTATAACAGGAACTTGAAATTTATAGCTTGTAGTATTTTGTCCTTAGCCCCTTGCTTGGTTTCAAAATAGTGCCGCCATAATTATCTACAGATGGAAATGAATGCAGCTGGTCTGTCAAAGTCTGAGGCCTTCTCTCGGAGTGAGAAATCATCCAGTCGATGAACTGCCTGTCTCTTGTTAATACGTTAGTCGCCCTCAGATTTTATCTGGTGGTTACAAGATACTCACAGTGAGACCTCACCGATCAGCTTCTGCCTCGGACTCCTTTTTTATTTTCTCCTCTGAGATATGCAAATGTGAAATGAAATGTGAAATTGTAATTTTGTAAAACATTATCGAACTGTGATATCCATATTTGTCTGATGTGAGGTTGCAGGAAGGGTAACAGGTTTTAATAGCACATACTTTATTTACAGTGTTTATTTGATCCCTTCTTTTATCACATTATATTGTGGCACCAACACCTGAGCTTTGGCATCCTGACATTCAAAGTCCTCGTTCAAAATTGTTCCTCTCTTCTTTCTATCAAATGGCTGGCATACAAGTAATTTACTGTGTGCCCAAAATGCAACATTTAAAGCCACTTTCAAGCCAATTTTCAACACGCATTGTCTGTCCTTCTAAGAACAAAAACTCAAAATATAGTTGTTCATTGCTCATTATGATCATTTAAAAAAAAAAAACACGTAACATTTCACTCTTAGTGAGTGTGGAGCAAAGAGCCAGGAGGTGGTTAGCTTAGCTTTGCATATAGACTGGAAGCATGGGGAAACAACTAGCCTAGCCCTTTAAAAGTTTCAAAATGACTTCCCCAAGTCTTGCTTCATCACTGAGTTTCCCAGAGAACCAGGGGAGACTCCAGGAAGTCACTGCACCAAGCTCCTGTTTGCCAAGAAATAGTTTAGGCTCATAACTTCCAGTAAAACCACAGCCTTTCCTTTTTAGATTTCCTGTTTGTGCACGGACTAAACAAATAAGATACGTATGAATGGATGGGTTTTATAGGTACTGGTTGTCAATTTTTTTTTTTCAACCTTGAATAGAGCTAGGTTAGCTGTTTTCCCCTGCTTCCAGTCATTATGCTAAGCTGAGCTAATAACCTTCTGACTCTAGCTCCAAACTTGACAGACATGAGATCAGTATCCATTTTCTCATTTCAATTGTGGCAAAAAGTGAATAAGCTTATTTCCTAGTTCCCGTACTAGTCCTTTAAGATGACGGTACAGTGAAGACCTAAAACCATTTTCAGTCTCATTAGCGAGACTGAGAGAGAGTTGGAAACACATTATGCTCGTTTTGATATCTACCACAAGTACATTGCCTGTGATAAATTTGTCCTTGAGATACAGTATTATAGTAGATACGTTATTTTGTTGTGTATCTGCAGTTGTTCCGAACAGTACGAAAGTTGTGGAGGAAGAGAAGAAGTTCCGCGACTGTGCCGACCTCTACCAGGCTGGTTTCCATAAGAACGCCATCTACACCATCCAGATCAATTCCCAGGATACCAAAAAGGTAAGAAGCTACAGTCTCTTCCAGCCGGCAGTCCATTGTGATGTGAAAATCTCTCTCTTCATCACGTGTAGGAAGCTCTTTCATAGGTTTCACTTGTTTTCTTTGAGTTGGAGTGGAACTCAACATTCTCTATGTGAGCTAAAGACCCTGAGGCGCTGAGGGACGTCAGCCGCTGATGAGTGTGAATGATGGGTGCGAGCTGCTGCAGGAATATTAAAAGCTGAAAATACACTTGGCACTTGATGTGAAACAGGACACTGAGCTGATCAGGATGGTGACAATGGTTCAAGTATGTGTGTGTGTGTTCGTACCCTCTCCACTATGCTTACATACTCTTGATTGTTGAGAGTGATGATTTAACATGTCGGGAGGTTGGCAAAAGGTTTGTGTGTGTTGATTTCTGTCTCGCAAACTCAAGCATGGTGCTGCTGGGCTGTTCGCTGAGGATTTAAGTCAAGCTGAAATTTGGATTTGCTACACTTTTGTGTAAGGACATCTAAACTATAATGATTAAGCTGAGTGCATTTTTTTTTTAATTTTTCAAAAGATGGTATGGGACTTTTTGGTAATAAACAAGTTGAAACACTGTCGACGTTTCAAGCTATTGGCTGGATGTTTCCTACAAAAGAGACCTGATGTTTGGAGAGCATCATATTAGAGCGCTTTATAGAATTTTTTTTCTTTTCTTTTCTTATTCTTCTTCAGTTTCAACATGCCCACATACTGTAGCTGTAGTCTGTTCTTCAGCATTTGGACCCATTGTGCTGTCCACTCAGACAGGGGAAGCTAGCAAGGGAGCCAGTCTAGCTAACTAGCGTCAACTTGTTAACATTAACACTGATTCCCACCACACGTTCTGTTTTGGTCATGTTGTTTCAGTACCTGCTGAGTGTGTTAAGTGTGTTTCCATCCACCTCTTTTTATGCCAATTTACGAGTAACGTAACGTGTAAAACACCCATACATGTGTCTACGCTTGACTGAGGTGAAAAACTTGATGTAAAGGCCAATACTTTGTGTGTGTGTTTGTGTGCATGTGTGTGTGTGTGTACTTTTTTTTGTACATGTATACCGTGAAGGATGAGCTAGTCTCGGGGAAAGTGATTCTGTCAGAGGTACTTCCTTAATTATACCCAGGCTGTGGTCATGTGTGTTCAGCTGTGTGGGCTGGCTGAGGTGAGAGACCTTCTCTGCTCCACCCTGGGGTCTCCTCCTCAAAACAAAGAGCAACACTGCAGACAGAGCACTGGCCCTGCCTTATCAGCTTACACACACTGAGGTCCAAGGTTAAGGGCCACATTACACCCAGGTGTCTGCTGGTATGTGTCCGGCTCGGACCTCCACTTTGATCCTGCAGAAACAAGGCCCTCTGATGAGGAACATCTCTGGGGACTTGGTGAGGGATAAGGAGACGCTGATTATGTTTGAGGACACAGATACATTGCATTCCCAAAGATGATTCATCATGAAAGCTGGGAAAAGGGAGTGTCTGAAATCACATCACTGTCCAATTGACCCTTCATTGTTCATTAACTCCACCGAGAATTGCACTGAATATAAGCACTACTTTTGTGCTTATATTACATCTTTTGAATGTACCAACAACTATATGACCTTCATACATGTGTGTTTTTCCCACCCTCCCTTTCTTTCTCTTGTCAATGGTGTAGGTTTATTGTAACATGGAAACAGCTGGTGGTGGATGGACTGTCATCCAGCGTAGAGAAGACGGCAGTGTGGACTTCCAGAGAACGTGGAAGGAGTACAAGACGGTGAGACATGACGAATACGCAAGACACAGACACTCTCCCAGCTTCTAGACACTCATCTTCATCCATTAGGAATAAATTACGAAATTGTGCAGTGAGCAAAACATCCTGTTTCAAAAATACACTTTTGCAAGGGGATTATGACAAACAATGTGCACTTTTTGGCCTTTGAGCATGTTGAAAACAGAGAGGCAGGAACCGCTGATCCAAGACCATTTGAAACACTTCGGCCAGATGTAATTCCTCCAGCAGCAACTGCTCCCCTGTCGTTTTTTGTCTTAGTAATATTGTCCACATTGAGACAATATTTGCTCTGAAGCGTCTGTGACATGCTGTTATTCTTCCTTCTTTCCAACAGGAAATTATTACCTAAATCTGAAAACAACACATTTGTTTAGTCTCTATATCCCGGTGCCTGGTGTTTCATCTGTTTGTAATCAACGAAAAAATCTATGCATATTTGCATTAAGGGTGTTAACATTTCCAATCTAAGCTGGGTTTAGACGGTGAATTGGGTTTATTATTGTAGCAGTTGCATTGCTGGCGTTTGCTGTGGAAGTCACCTGTGTATACCTTCCTCTAGCATCCACAGTTTATTGTTCAGTGGACTTCAATGTTCATTCTATCCCCTGTAATATGCTTTCTGTTTAATTATTTTCTCTCTCTCCACTGCTCTTGATGAATGTCATGTTTGTGGGCTATTACAACTTCCACAGTGAAACAAATTAAAGAGAGAACTAACATAATCATTTCAATGAGAAATCTCCAAATCTGCTGTTTAAAGGAAATATTTGTACAGTTTTTTGGATGAAAATCAACTCAACCAGCATATCAGCAGGATGTGAAATGTTTGGAGGAAAAAAAGGAACAGACAGGGAAATTAATGAAAAAGGAAACAGAGCATAGAGGGAGAAAATAAAGATCATGTAAAGATAGGAACAGGTGTACAGACAGAGAACATGAGGTGCATTCCAGGACATGGACTGACACTCACAGATCTTGACAGACGCTGCTGGTCTAAATGCTCAGTATGACTGTTGGTCTCCTTGAAAAGTGCAGAGGAGATCAATTGAGTTTTATTGTCTTATTAAATTTCTCATTCTTGGTCTCCAGAGGCTTGTGCTCACAGATTTAATGCACGTGGAGGATTTGTAAATCTTTCAGTCCAAACTGAGATGCTGTCTCTTTGTGGGGCCACAGAGAGAGTTTTGGCAACTGGGATGTAGTGCACATTTAAAAATGAGATCTGAAGACCAGCTCAATGTTTGTAATTACATTACTAGGAAACCACACATCGCAGGAGACCTTGCAAATTAGATTCAACCACTCCCTCTTTCATCTTGTTAAAATGTGAAAATAGCCCCCAAACATTGCTCTAGAAGTACGTAAAGCTCATCTAATTAATTAGTACATTTACATTAACCAATAAACTGCCCCTCAACCTCAGCCAACACATTCACATCAGGGGTAGCAATTGAAAACTTGTGTGAAAACTAGTTACCATTAGCGAGGGAAGAAGTTGAATAGTTAATTCAAAGTAATGGATAAGCAGTTAAAGTAGTTATAATTGTCAGCAATGAAAAACAGTAGAAATTTTTTGCTATTTAGCTTTATATAATTAATAGTGTTCAGATAAAATACATCTCATATATCCGTTCACAAGAACAAGAACATGGTGAGTGGTGCAGATGTCACGTCACATCAGATAATAAAGGATGGGAACCACTGTTGTTGCTGAGTATTGGACTCTCACTGTAATTCTAGTTTATCTTTGTGTTTGTGCAACAGTTTCTGAGATTTACAGTGATCTGTGTTTACGATGAGTTTGAAAACCAAGCGCTCGATCCAACAATATGACTAAACGTCTCCTTGTCATTTCTGAGCTGAATGATGTAGATCAGGTTTGCGTGTGAAGAATCGCGAAGCACCGGAACTATATAAGGGAAAACTGTCAACATAGCTCGACTCCAAGCCTTCTCTCCAGCCAGAGCTCTTGAGATAAACCACGGTCACAGTAGGAGGCATTGGACTGAGCTGAAAGCCAGTCAGAAGGGAACATCTCATCAGTGAGTGAGATCAATTGTAGAGAAAGAGAGAGAGAGAAAGAAAGAGGGGAAAAAAGGGGAGAAAGCTGTAATGGGCCCCAGTAACTTTCTCTTCCACCCACTCAGCAGGACATGCCTAAGGCCCGAGGAATGCCCCATATTTACTTTCCCTCCTTCCCATTCCACATCACCACACACGCTCAGCACAAACACAGACTTCTCTCTGACTTTGCCTCCACCCTCCCTCTTTCCCAGTCTTTAATGGAGCGGTCCAGACCATCCTGTCAGAGCTGTAATGTCATCCCGCTTCGTGATATTCCCCTCTGCAATCTGCCGCTCTTGCTGCTGTCAGAAGCACTTTGCCTGTGACCGGCAGCCACTCTGATCAAATACAAACTTTTGCAGTTGTTTGAAGTAGTGTCCCTGCATGCAGTATATATATTGAGAAAGAAGTATTTAAGTAATAATGAGTTTAGCATGTGTGACAGAGGTAGAGATGGAAAAAGGTGTGTGTCTGTTTCAGCTGGTACCAATTTACATCCACGTGGATGATAAAGCCAAAAGTGTGCTTATAAAAACGTGCATAAAATACGTTAATATACAATTTGAGTAATGTGTTTGGCTGTTCCACTGCAGTCTGGAGAAATGAATTCAAAAATGCTATGACAGGACAGACACATTACTGCTGGTGGATAAACAGCCAGGGTATTTATTATCAGGAACCATTTGTTCTCATCTTATTTCTGATTGACACAAAAAATAAATGAGTAAATAAATTAGAAAATTCCTTCACATCCATTCCACAATCCTCTAGTGTTGAGATTTTATCATTCTGGGAAAAGAGAGGAGATAGCAATGAATAATCATCTAGTTTATGATTTAGAAAAAGGATTTTCAGTGGTATTTCCATGCTGATTATTGTGTTTCTCTTCTGTCACTGCAGGGCTTTGGGAGCGTGTCTGCAGAGCACTGGCTGGGGAACGAGTATGTTTACCAGTTGACTAGCCAGAGACAATATGCTCTCCGTGTAGAGCTGACAGACTGGGACGGACACCAGGCCTTCTCTCTATATGACCGCTTCCAGATCGGCAGTGAGAAACAAAACTACAGGTAATACAACTTTTTTTTTTTTTTTTTTTTTTTTTTCCAGGTTTTTTTTTTTTTGTTTTTTTTTCAGGCCAAGGAGCACACAGCCAGCTAAACAAAGAAAGAAAATTCTTTCTTTATTACATCTTTTCATTGTAGCTGGTAAAATTAACTGTGATCAAAAACATCCTGGGGACCAGGATTTCAGGATATTTGCACCACATGTTCAAGTGAGAATTGACTTCAGAATAAAAAATGAATAAAATACTGACTCTGCAAATAACGGAACAAATTATTTTTACCCAAATTGGCTCCATTGATGGCAATTTAGGTCAACTTTGGTCCAGAGTGAATATTTCAACAACTACTAGATAGATTGCAACAACATTTAGAATAGACATTCATGGTCTCCAGAGGCTGAATCTTAATGACTTTGGTGATCCCCTGACTGATCCTGCACCACCATGTGACTGACATTTGTGGTTTTGACAGACATTACTTGACAACTATTGAATGAATTTTCCATGTCATTTGATACAACCATTCATGCCCCCTTCAGGATGAATCCTAATAACTGGTGATCCTCTTTAATCTAGAACCATAGCCAGATCAAAACTTTTAATTTGTCCAGCACTTTGGTTTACTGCTGAATACCTGCAAAACTAAGAATAATTAGCCTCAGTTGTACTTTGTGTTTAGTGCTAATTAGCTAGCATGCTAAACAAGCTCATTAAACATAATGCCTCGCAAACGACATCAAGCTAACACTGTCTTTGTGACCGCTTTAGCATGATGTCATTAGCATTCTGCTCAAAGCACTGCTGTACATAAATACAGCTTCACACCTTTGCTAATATGACTGTAGACTCAGTGTCTGCACAGCCTGCATAGTGAAAGCAGCACATTAGCAGAGCAGTAGCACACCTCCATCGGTGTCTCCAGAGGATGCATTCAGTGCTCAAAGCTCAAAACGCAATTGCTGTAGTTACGCACATAAAATGGAAGGGAATAGTTAAAGAATATGCAGTTACATGCAGATAGTGTGAATAAGATAAACAACTGAAACATGTGACTGAAACGCCTCCTGTGTAGACGAGCCTGTCATCTTGTTTTCACCTTTTCTCACCTTGATCACTTCAAACTGTGTCTTTTGCATATGTCATTAATGGAATGAAGGAAGCAAGAATGAAGGTAGGAGGAAAGAAAAAATACTACAATGGAAGGACAAAAGATTATAAAAGATTATAAACATGGCGAGTAACTGTGAGCTCTCCAGACACTTAAATCATGTCGATTCAGTTATGTAAGTGTGGTGAGACTTTTCTCATTGCAAATTCTTTCCAGCCCAAATGTATTCCCTGTCATCGTCTCCTTGTTGCAAACTTTCCTTTGATTGACGCTTTGTCCTTGCATGTTGCGGGGGCGAAGGTTTCTGTTTTCTTTTGAGGGGGTTAATGATAACAGGCCTCAAACTATGGCAGATGCTTGGCCCTCTCAGATGTGGAAAACTACTGCAAATTCCACAGAGTTCCAAGCATTCACTGGCTTCACAGGCGAAGGTCTGACATCTCCAATTCTGCCGTTTTCACTGGACCGTCGGTTCTCTCTGATAAGAAGTCCCTTTTAGTTGCGAAATGTCTCGTGTTCAGCTTGGAGCGACGAAATAAGGAACGAGATTGTGCGGCTTAAAAGCCTTTACCTCAACCCTTCCATTTATCGCACCCAAGCTCCAGAGAATACAGAAGAATACAGGTTTCAAGTGTTTCCCTGCAGCAGGGAGGCCGTTAAGCTTGCTGCCATGTCGAATTTTAAAAATCGTCTTGTGATGACAGGGGTTTCACTTTACGAGGTTTCCATGTTGAGGAGTTTGAACCTGGAGTGGACTCTGTGGTTTTCCCTGAGGACTGGAGAAATGGATTTCAATCAAGCGGAAGAGATCAGATGTTTTTTTGTTTTAAATTTCACGCAAAGTTGGAAGTTTTCGATTGAACTCCGTCTGTTGTTACCTAGTCTTTATTTCTGGCTCTGGTCTGACTGCACTGAGGAGCATATTTATAGTCCTAGTATCAAACCAACCTCTTTGAAACTTAACCTTTTGTTCTTTTGAATTAGGGAAGTAATTATTGTTTTTGTTCCACTGAAGCAACCAAAGGGCATCCCCGGCCATCCTGGCCTGTTTTGGATGCAGGTTCGGACTGTTCACGACTCCAATCTACATGCTGATCTCTATAAATAGATTTGTTCTTGAAAAATAGTTGCGGTATGATAATCACACATTGCTCCTCTGAAACACGGGCCAAAACAAACCAGATGGCCTGGCCCCAAACACACCGACGCTGCCACATTCTCTGTTCTTTCTGCTTTGGCACCTCCTGGTTTTTAAATGTCAAACAATCTGTGACAAGTTCTGCAGATTATATTTATTACCCTGAAACATTAGAGGTAGTTGTAAGTGATATGGCTTGTCTTTGAGTTAGTTTTGGATTGTTCTCTGTCATCCGTGGTGGTTTACTGGAATACAGTCTGCGTCAGCGCAAGTCAGACAAACATTTACAAAGACCTCATATGGTATAGTCAATCTGCCTCTTGCTCTCCATGTGTGTGTGTTTCACACATCTACACACACACACACACACACACACACACACACACACACACACACACACACACACACACACACACCGTAAGCACATAAACAAAGTCACGAACAGACAAGCACACCACTTAGACACCAGGGAGAACAACTGAACAGTCCAACATTGAACATTTTATTGAGGGGAGCCAGGAAATGTTTGCGTTGCTGCCAGCTTCTTTGTTTCATCTACATACACTGTAAAACGGAAATGACTCGACTTGCAGAGAGGGAGGGACGTGGGCAATTATTCCTCTGTGACATATAGGGTCCTAATCCTTTAAAAATGAAATTATGTACACAGAATAAATGTCATATTTATTACCAGCACGCTTAAACTTTGGAGCTGCCATCAATCTTTATTCAGTCATCTAATTCTTGTTGGCTATTTCAACCATAGTGACGTTGTTATATCAATACCTAATTTAAAATCAGATGATTAAAATAGTTTTGAGTGATATTTTCAAAATAAGGTGATTCTGTTCACCCTTAGGTTCCATTTGGTTGATGTTTTCATTTAAATTGTAAGAATGGAAACCCATTGAGACTATTTATACTCTCAAATTGCTTTTTTAGTGTCTGGCAATGGTGGAGTGGTAGTTAAGGGTAGAGATATTTCAGGGGTTATTATAGGTATGTTTGTGCTCAGCTTCCCAGGAAACTCATTTAAGCATCGCATTTAACAGCACTGGGGAAAATCTTTTTTTTTCTCAGTCAATACCATTAGACTGTTCGAGTTTTTGCCTGTGTTGAAGGCCTTTTTCATGAAGGCCATCCTGCACTCTGAGAGTTTACCTCCATGAATCATAACTGATGGTTGAAGGTGACAGAAGATTGCAGCTTGTTAACGCTGCTGAGTCCAGCACTGTTAAATTCAAGGGCTTGCAGCTCCAGGGTTTTTCTGAAAATGGGCTCTATCAATCTAAATAGAAAAAAAACTTACCTATTTGTTCCGGTATTTATTATCAGTGCAGCTGTAAATTTGTTGATTGCTTTATTAGCTGAGCAGTGGAAAATTAGTCAAAAACAATTACTCTCAGGTTTTAAAAATTGATTAAAATTTGAATAATTGATTCAAATCTGAGCAGTTACTGGTTTCCTTAGTCTTCTAAACTAAATAGCATTAGGTTTTAGACTATATACCTCAACTTAGGCTTTGTAAAATTTTGATTGTATTTTTAGCAGTATAGCAGGAACTGCATCAACACAATAACAGAAATAACATTAAAGAAAAAAATCGACACTGACTACATCTGCACAGTGTAAGCTGCAATCAGAAATGTTGCTTTAATGCAAACATATGAATCCTGATGACAACACTTTAAAGGGTAAATTTGTGTTGACCCAGTTTCCACTCAACCACAACCTCTCTCCAAAGCTTTTTTTTCTTCTTCTTTTTGTCACTCTGACTGAGGTCACCATAATTGCAGAGGTTACTGTCCCCTATCATCATAGATAATTTGGCTGCTGTGGTGCAACATGGGTTGCAGAAAAGAAAACAATAAAATCAAATATAATTTGATGACCTGCAAATATTGTTCTAACAGCAGCCATCAGATCAACACATTCAGCTAATCACCCTCATTTTTCAAAAGAAAGAAACAAAGTAAAACAGTGCTGAGTCAGAGGGAAAATTATGGTACAGAATGACAAAAATTGCATGTTACACAAAACTAAATTATGTAACGAGAAGACAGATCCACAAACTGAACTCCAAGAGTTGAATCAAGTGTAACTGGACTTGGTTGTAGAAACTTGAAGACATTTAACCTCACATCCCATGGGCTTCTTCGGTTCTGCCTCTTGGATCAGAGGTGAGAATGATCTTGAAGTTATTTAAGCATTTTGATGTTTAGGTTTTGCACACTGCACAACTTTTGATACCTGGGTCCTGGCCATGTCTGTATAGTTAACTTTTCTCTACAAATAAGAATATTAAGTTTCATGCATCCACATCCGTGGAGTGGAATGTGGTTCACTGAATGTCTGGGGGTGTTTAATGCATCTTAAAACACTAATGCCCATGTGAAGATGTAGTGAAGTACCCTGGGCACCTGAGAGAACCATAATTTCCAAAGTTATCCACAATACAAACATTCATTCGGTTGAATATATGCACGGACACAAGTTGAGGTTTACAGAGGAAAGTGTTTTGTACGTATGTTCAAAGCCTCCAAGCTGCAAGAAAAGATTTTGTTTATTTTTGAACGAGCCATTACATATTTATTCAATATCCCTCCTTGTTCGGACAGCCAAGTTCTTAAATGCAGTGATTTCTCCATACCGTGTGGTAATGGGCCGAGTTCCCCATGGGATCAGATAGATCTAGTTTAGATGTTTTTCATGTGGGGATTTAGGAAAGAAATTGGCAGAGGTTTGGGTTCCAAAACAC